TGGCAGTTATTGGATTATGGAAACGGGCATAGTGAGAAAAGGAGACATAGTCAAGGATGCCTGACTGTGCCTTCATTCACTTCTCAGCACCCCCCCCCAGCTCTTCATCATCAATTCTAGGCCATCATTAATTTTGAGCTGTAATATTTATGTCATAAAGGCACTTAGGCCCAATAAAATACTTACATTAAATTTTAGTATTTTCTGCAATCTTGGATTACAGAAGGTAGCTTATATGTTAAAGATACTCTGTTAAAAAGATTATATTGGGGTACATAAAATAATTTAAAATAATGAAAAGGCCAGTGTTGTGTTTGTTTGTTTGTTTGTTTTGCTTTCCAAGACAGGGTTTCTCTGTGTTGCTTTGTAGACCAGGCTGGCCTCAAACTCACAGAGTCCATCTGCCTTTGCCTCCCAAGTGCTGGGATCAAAGTTGTGTGCCATCACCGCCCAGCAGCCAACATTGTTTTTATCTATGTTTCCTTATTTGCCAGTGAAGACTCAGAAGTCAGAAACTGGGGTGAAAACCTGTTAGCTCAGAGAGGCTGAGAAGCAACCAGCTGGCCTTCCATTTGGCTGGAGACCCAGAAAAAGAGTTTCTCTCTTTCCATCCCAAATCAAAAGGGCCCTTGAGTCCCTTAAGTCCCTCCTTGCTCTTTCTGTGTGTCTCTCTGTCTATATCCCTGGCTCCTCTCTATTCTTTATAGCTAATTCCTATCAACTAGTCCCAGGCTCAGACCCTTGATCTAAGGTTAATTTTATTAACACAGTCTTGGAGTTTCACAGTACAATCATATAAATTCTCAGGGGAATATATCACCCTAATTTTCAAGAAAGTTATACCATTAAAACCAGTTGGTACTAACTTACTAATTAATTCGTAGTGAAAATAGCTGCTGTTACTTGCTTTCCCCTCCCCTTTCTCCATACATTTTTGGGTCGTTTCTAAGTTACTTTGTTTAATATATATCCCAGAACTTCTTGTGCTTGAGAAGTTCTTAGACGTGTAAACAAAACTGAACTGACATTTTTGTTTTAGACTTGGCGCAACCCAAATCAGCTGTGATTATAGGTTTGCTCTTTTTCAGGGTGCTGGTCTTGTATCTCTAAAATGTGTGGTGATATTTTGTGTATGATTTAATAATTTTGCCTGAAGATCAGAGTGCAGAGCTAGCCACACTAGTTAGCCACAGAAGCCAGGCAGTGGTGGCACACACCTTTAATCTCAGCACTTGGGAGACAGAGGCAGACAAATCTCTGTTAATTCGATCCAGGCTAAAAGAGATACAGCTCACACAAAGATGATCCCAGCACTTGGGATCCCATGCCTTTAATCCCAGCACTAGAGAATATAAGACACGAGCAGACAGGAGCTCAGTGCAGTCTGAGGTTTGGTGGAGAACAGTGGAGTCTGAGGAGCAGTGCAGTCTAAGCAGTCTGAGGATGCAGTCTGAGGACAGGATCACTTCGGTCTGAGCATTGGTAGAGTTGAGAACTCCAGTGGCTGGCCCTTCTGCTTCTCTGATCTTCAGCTTTAACCCCAATGTCTTCCTCTGGGTTTTTATTAGTAGTACCAACTAGAATTAGTGCTACAAAAGTGAAGTCGGAGGTTAGAATGTACACTCAGCAGGAATACTGCCCTTCCCTAGCACTGCTCTAGTGTTTGGTTATTTTTTTTGGGGGGGGGGCATGCTGTTTTTCTTTTTGAGGGTGAGTGAATCAAGGTGATTGCTAAAGAGAATAAATCACAAACTGTGGCGGTTTGACTAAGAATGACCCCATAAAGTTATATATTTGAATGCTTAGTCGTCAAGGAGTGGTACTATTTGAGAAGGATTTGAAAGATTAAGAGGCATAGCCTTGTTGCAGGAAGTATCTCACTGGGAGTGGGCTTTAAGGTTTCAAAAACACTGGCCAGGCCCAGTCTCTCCCTCTTGGCCTACAGGGGTCAGGATGGAGCTTTTAGCCACTTCTCCAGCACCACACCTGCCTGCCACCATGCTCCCTGTCATGATGATAATGGGCTAAGTCTCTGAGGCTTTAAGTCGGTCCCTAGTAAAATGCTTTCCACTTTGGACAAGTTGCCAGGCCGTGGTTTCTCTTCACAGCAATAGAACAACAACTAAGACACTGTTAGGCTATAGTTGTGTGTAGGGACACAAAACACAGGTTTCCTCCCAGAGGATGGGACCCCCCATCCCGTCTCTCAGCGCCACCATCACGCTCCAGCACCTCAGCATCTCCATCTCCACATCCATCTTCAGGGGCTGCCAGCAACATTAGTTTGAGCCCTCCTTCCCTCTAGTGTACAACCTCCTTGAATCCATGGTCAAGATCATTTCTGAAAATATTGAGTAGCTCCTTTATTGATCTCCAGTTGCATTCTTCTTAGAGTTTCACAAACTCTTACTCCTGAAAAAGACATTTAAAATAATTTCAGACAAAAACTGGAACGGTTTTAAGGCATTTTGTATATGCTGCAATGTATACAGCAAGATATCCCCTGTTTAATATTTTAGTAGAACCTTTTATTGCATATTTTAAGTAGACTGGACATAGGTTGGCTTTTCCTGTTTGGATATATTCAGATTGAAAGACATGAAGCCAAGCCGGGTGTTGGTGGTGCACGCCTTTAATCCCAGCACTTGGGAGGCAGAGGCAGGCGGATCTCTGTGAGTTCAAGGCCAGCCTGGTCTCCAGAGCGAGTGCCAGGATAGGCTCCAAAGCTACACAGAGAAACCCTGTCTCGGAAAAACAGAAAGGAAGGAAGAGAGAGAGAGAGAGAGAGAGAGAGAGAGAGAGAGAAAGACATGAAGCCAATAGTCCTGACCTGACTTGTTTTCTTTTGCTTACTGTGATTGCTGTTTCTTGTGGAAGTCATCCCATCCTGGAATCATAGTTTTGCAAAGGGGTCTTTAAGAAGGTTATAGAGAAATCACTTAAAGATGTATTCTTGCTGTGGCAAAATTCAAATGAGTTTGTTTTACCTTCAAAGTTTAATTATAATGTGGGTAGCTTTTAAAGCTTCTTGTTCTACTTGGTGAGTTTTTAATTTGAGATGTATCCCTGAACACCTGTGTGCCTGGATTTGTTGGTTTGTTCCTCCAGCCATCTCTGCACTCTGTCACTAGCCAGAGGTGCTACTTGTCTGTAGGGGATAACACAAATGCTCCGCATTCTCTGTGAATTCTTTAGCAACCTTTGCTCTGGTTTTTACAAAAGAGATGGTGGGATTGCAACCCTCTTTTTCTTTCTGGTGTGTGAGATCCAAGGTTGCCTTTGCAGTTTGCCCTTCAGAAAATGCTCCTTTTATGTTTGGTCAGTAAGTGAAGGCTACCTTGATTTGCCTAGGATCCTAGGAGTCCTTGAGCATAATCTTTTAAGAAGGGAAGGACCGGGTCTAGCTAATGCTTAACACAGTTGTATTATTAGGAATTTGAGTTTAGGAAAAGTGTTAGAAAAGTTTTGAATGAAGAGTACAGGAAGCCTTTCAAGGCATCTTTCTTTTCCTTCAATGAATGGTGTCTTAGAAATCTCAAAGTCCATTAGAAAGAGCACTGGGGGTTTTTGTTTGTTTAGAACCTTGCAAACAGTAATAAATTTTTACCACTTACCGTCATCACTCCCTACACAAATTTCCAGTTTACCTGCGTTTGTCAGTGATCGTGACTGCTGGACTCACCTTTATTGCAATGAGTTCAATAGTGATTTCTAAATAAGCTTCGTATCAAGATACGTCTTCATCTCCACTACAACCCCGTGGATTCTGTGTGAGGAACAATGCCTGACAGGACACGGCTTTTACATATACTTTTTAAAATCATATTTATTTGTATGGATGTGTGGGGGTGCGCTTGTGCCACATTGCCCTTGTGGAGGTGAGAGGACAACTTGCAGGAGTCGTTCTGTCCGTTCCCATCTTCCTCCATTGAGTACTGGGGCTTGAACTCAAGTGCTGCTCGGGCATGGCAGCAAGGGCTTTTACCGGCTGAGCCATCTCGCTGAACCCAAGGAGAAAATTTAGTGAGGTAGGACTCAGTATCAACACTGACCCTTGCTTTTGATCCCGCCAGGATAAAAACACACACACACACACACACACACACAAAAAAAAAAAAAAAAAAAAAAAAAACAACACACTGGTCATTGTTATAAAGAAAACAGCCGAGAGATGGGTGACGAGGATAAGAAGAACAGAGATAAAATTTGGCCACAGCTACGTGTCACACGGGAGCGACAGGGGTGGGGGGCAGGGAAGGCAGG